TGGCATTTTACTTTTTGCACAACTGTTTCCAGTAAGATCTTCTGCAGGGTTAGTGAATTAACTCACTTTTTTCCAAGCAGTTTTGATTCATTGAAAAACGTTTTTAAAAAAACACGTCTTTCTAAATTGATTGAAGAGTTGAAATGAAAATAATTGATAAAAATCTGCAATCACTCTTATCCATTCCAGCTTTCCCTATAGCCCTGCCCTGAATCTGAACTTGTTCTAGCAGGCCTCCTGTGCCTCTGAGGCAGGAAGTGGGCTCACACACAAGGGGACTAACTCGTTTTCAAAGTTCAAAATCACAAGATCACTAAATGCTTAAAATATATTACAGAGGAAACCAAATAAACAGTTTCTCCTCCCTCCAGTCATTTCCCTTTGTTTCTGTTTTTGTCTCTCTGCCTCTAATCGTCTGTGTTTCCACCATCTCCTTCACCTCCTCTTGTTATGTCTGTCTCTCGCTCTGTGTGGACTTTCCGTTATCATTACTGTGACCCCCACATTTAAAAGGCTTCACAAAAGACAAGGATGACGTGTTCAAGTGGCCACCCAAAACATATAGTGCAGTGTATGGGCCTCTGTGACCCTTGATGTGACTTGTGTATCTGCCGTGCATGGCTTTGTGTTTCTCTTCACTTCTTTTTTCACTACTTTATCAACTTTATGTTCCTGCACTATCCAGCTGCATAACATATCTTGTGACAATAGGCAAATGAAACAAACCAAAATTTCCCTTGACACTTCTCAAGAGGATAAACTGAACTTTATTTCATTTGTATCAAGATGAAGACAAAAAACTGATGTTTGGAACAAATAACTTCAACACTCAAGGGAGATTCTTCTAAACACATTGGTTCTGCTTCATGCAGTGTTTTGGTGAAACATCATGATTTAAATGGTTCCATTTACTGAGCTATGATAACCGTTTCAGTGGCACTTATTATATATCATGTGACGATATATATACTGCTTGTAAAAAGTGCCTGGCAGTTACATAACACAGTCACACACACAAAGTAGTCTGCATGAACCTGTTGCCCATAAACAGCAGGCGATTCTTTCACTAATGTTCACACAGTCTTTGATTCAAAGAACTACATTTTTCAGCACTGTGGGATTGCAAGTGTTTAGTCTTCACAAGAAGGCTTGACCTCAACATACCGGAGCATTTCTGTCTGGCCCAGACAGCTACTTATGACACCGGAAATCTCAATGTTACTCTGCATGGCCTTAGGCCCATATGAGCAGATGGCACCGGGGGCGTTTCCTTACATTCCTAACTATAGTTCATTTGTCCCCCCTCCCAGCAGCAAGTTGACACACACAGCCTAATCAACTTAAAACTGTGACGACACCACTGACTCCACCCACACGGCTGGGTATAGCGTTAAAACAACTGCACAACACAGACACCGATCCACGATTAGCCAGTCTCAGGCATGAAGTGCAATGTTGTACATTGTATGGCAATCCTTAAACTTGGGTACAAATCTGATGTTGGTGTCAGTATGGCAGTGCAGGTGGGCAGGAAACGAGAGGGAGATGTAACACATCAAACAGGAATGAGACAGTGACAAAGATGTTCCAAGGAAAGTGTCAAGTTCAGTATTCTCATTAAATACACAGACAATGGGTGGCTTGTTTTAGGTCCTGCTCTGGTGTCTGGCACATTACCACAATACCTTCAAGAAAAAGTCGGCTGACTGGGTTCATCCATACTAAGTTCATTCATAAGAAGGAAGCCACACTACTCCGACTCCTTGACATTCTGTCGAGGTAATCTATTTTTAGAACCATGTACAGACAGTGTCTTTACCATAAAGAAATTACTCTGTTTGAACTGTACTCATAACTTTGCTCTCTTTAAGGCTTGTCAATGTATCCTTTGTTTAACAGCGTCAAGCGAAGCCACAAGTGGTAATTTGGGGTTAATGATCAGTTATTAATGAACTCAATTTGTAAAAGGAAGAATGTATTACTTCTTATTCAAAAAAGACACAGTCCCCAGTGGCAGCGGTGGCCCATGTAAACCACAGGGTTGAAACTAGGGCCTGCATTTCAAATATCTCTGAAAGTTAAAATGCTTGTTCCAGCTTCCAAAGAAACTATTTGATCATTTTTTCAATAAAGTTAACAAATAAATCAAAATAACATTTGGAGTACTGTTCTTTTGTGATGTAATAAAATAAATCCCACTGTGCAGTGCAATATGATCATTTTAGACCATACACATTGAAAACAATGCATATGGCAAAGATGTGGTGCATCAGGCTAAAATGCCAAAAGCACAGTCATCTGTGCAACAATCTGCACACGCTCAGAAACAAGAAGTAAATGTTACAGAAGTTGTCAACAACCTAACAAATGATGAAAGCCTGCAGTGTTGCTTTGAAGTTTAACACACAGAAATTTGCACAAAAATGCTCAAATATTATGACATTTGCAAATTAAATGATCTGAATGCTATATTGGATTAAAATAGATCACATAAATTAAGTCTATCACAATCCAAATGATAGCAAAAAGTCTAGTCTAGTTACTCCATGCACTTGACAGCTATGTCCCTGAAGTGATGAGAACAGGGTTTGTTTAATCTAGCTCTGCGCTGACTCATCACTTCTTCTTCTTTCAAGGTTGAGTTGCCCAGAGTTAGTCCAGAGACCTCGGCGAAAAAAAAAAAAGTGTGATCATATTTTCACTAGAAGTTCTTTTGTGCTTTCCTGGATTGGCCTGAAGCAGGACAGGGCTGCATCAGCACATTTCACTCTTTTGATCCTTTTGGTGAAAAAAAAAAAGAGACTGAAGAGAAGGCTTCTCCGCCTCTAATGTGTGTGTGTCATGGTTCTAGCCTTTACTTAATCTTATTGGATCTATGAAATTTAGAATGAACGGAGTAGAAGCGAAAGGGCATGCCACTGTATATACATGTATCTATACCTTCCCATGGACGCCTGCACAGTGGTAGCAAGTTTGCATGCAAAACAGTCCAGGAAAAGTGACATTGTTGACATAATCAAAGTTAGAGGACTTGATAACCTCGGAGGAATTTCTATTTTGGCTGAGATGTTCCGAGTTTGATGCTCTTTTATACACACAAGTTATCTCACAGGAGTTCAGATAATGTACAAGCACATTCATCTAAAAATCCAAATTAAAAACATTTATTATTTGTCCAATTTTTTTTAAGTAGATTTAGCAAGGATTGTTAATATTTGCTCGAGGAACTGAGTTGAGTTCATAGTGTTCAAGCACATTCATATAAACTTTCAAGATAAATTCAGCCATTTCTTTGGCCGCTAAATTTTACAGTAGACCTCACAGCCATGCTGGCCAGGCTCAGTGGCTGGATTTTTATGCATTTACTTGCTAAAACCAACACATTAACTGTGTGCTGGTAATGTTAATATTCGCTCATTAACGTTGACATAAAATACAGCTGCAAGTATAACAGGAAACTGAAGTACAAGACAGAAAAAATTTAGTTAAGCACTTTTCCTGAGACAATGTGCTAGTTACTCTGGATCATTCGTACAATGAACAGTTTCCAATGGAGCCACTTTCTACCTCGAGGAAATAGCTATAATGTGGAACCACAAAGCTTCATAACATACTTTACATACGTCGCATTAAAGGATGCTAGTGTCTTACTTTGTTTAAAGTTCAATATGAAACAAGTACGATTCTCAATTATGCTCTGTCCTTGTATCCCACTGCAACTGTGCTCCGATTTGCACTGATTGGGGTAAATAATTACTTCGATGATTTTATTACAAGTAAGAACATGTGTTGATAAAGTCCACGAGACAGAAATTCACAAGGCATACTGTAGGCCTACGGTTCATCTTACATGGTATATCAAATAGCACATCCTTGTGTCTGTGGAAATTCAGTTTCTTTCCTTATTCTTTGTGACGGCCCTGGTTGACCCACTTCCTGTGGCCTGATTGCCAGTTGTCATGGTGAAGTCAAAGCACTGTGAGAGGAAAACAGGCCAAATTGCCTGGAACCAGGATTAAACAACTATACCAGATGACACTTTGCTAAATGATGTTTTTCTTCTTACAGTGGAACTGCGTCACTGGTTTCTAAACACAAAGGACTAAACTAGGATGGAGCTTTGTCATCAAGCCAACACATTTACTTCCGATAGAAATCTCTCTTTAGATACTTGGGTAAAAAGCTCCCTGTTCATACCAGCAAGTCTTTGTACCAATGGACTTCCTCTTTTCAACAATGATGACCCTGATCTATTCAGTACAAAGTGACAGGGGGAGAGGAGGTAAAGCCCTTAAATAAACAAGGTTTAAGTTGGTGGAATTGCATGAATTTGTTTTAACATTTCGATGAGATGATTATTATCACCTCTTTTATCTGTATGATAAATGGGTAAATATGCAGCTGGAGACTAGCTGGCAGATAGTTAGCTTATAGCTTAGCATAAAGCCAGGTAACCGACTCAGTCCAAATAGACAGATTCACTAAACCAACACCTCTAAAGCTCATTATTCAAAACATTTTATGGAAACTGCCTCCTACTATCCAGAAATGGAGCCAAATATCCAAAATATCCTGGATATGAACGCCGCAATTTTGCAAAACTGGACATTAAGACTGTGCAGTAGATTAGCCCCATTAGTGCGGTCCCACTAAGACATGCTCAACTAATCGCAAGTCAATGTAAACTGTCAATCACAAGGTTTTACCTTGTTTTTATATTATCAAATAACTAATTAAAACTAAAAATACTAGAGAAATTAGCACACAAACAAACATCATTGTCATAAGACGTATTTAAAATAACAAGAAACGATCTTAGAGAAAAATGGAATGACTTTTTAGTTTGGTCAATGTCCCATCCACAATCATGGAGGAGGCAAGATTAATGACGCAATATGCAGCCAGCCACCAGATAGCGACACGCTTTGGCATCACTTTTGGGGAGCAGTCATGTTGTCACCTTTATATACAGTCACTGATAAGAACTGAATGACCCTAGCTTTATTCCCATTTCCAGTTTTAATGCTAAGCTAAGAGGCTGCTAGCTCAAGCTTCAAATTTACCATACAGATTAAGAAAATAATTTTTTTCCCCAAAACAATGAACTTTCATTTTAAGGCTTACAGTGCTGATAGCATGCTAGACTCTTGCAGCAAACGACAATGAAGATATTTGTGTCCAATCTGTTAAATTACGTTATATTCCTCTTCAGAGATGAGTTATTCATACTGTCACTAAAACTGACTGATGGGACATGGTGAAATAGCAAGGGGACATCACATTAGCTCAAATGAGCATGGGGGCCGGTTTAGCATGCTGAGCGCTGAAACGCACCTCCCTCCCATTTGAAACGCGCCAATGTAGGAGAAGAGGGGGTTTGCACACCATCAGCACATTGGGGGATGGGAAGTCCGACTTCCAAGAACTGCAGTTGCTGGCTTGGGGAAGGAAAAAGAAAAAAAAACCCTTAACTCTTTCACATTTTTTCCATCTCTCCTTTACTTCTGATGCAAGTCGGTTGTAATCGGCCGCAAAGTAAGCATTTTCTACTTTGACTGAGTATTAAAACATTCTACATAATTTTAGCACTTTTTAGAAATTGGCACAATTTGATTTTCAACAATTAAAAAAGCAGAAGAGCAATGTGCCAATTGCTAATTCATTGTTGGCTCAACAATATACAATAAGAAAATTGTAATTTTACACACACATCTTTTCTCCAGTCCATTAAATGAAATAATAGGCTCCACTGAGGAGCAGAAGTAAGAAACTAGATGCCTGAGAAAAGGCAGGTCATGTCAAGTCCTATCAGCTCTTGTGTCTTTAATTCCTCCGGGGTCCACCCTGCTCAAAAAATATGCAGTCGAGGTACTTTTGGATAATGGCATAAGAATTACATGTACAAAGACAGACACATCACTAATCTTTTTAAATGTGCTGTGAATTTGCAGAGAGCAGCTAAACACATGGCTCAGACCACCCAGGAGCAGGACAACCTCACCCGTTCATCATTGTCTATCTCTGCTCTGTGCACAATGTCTCCAAAATGTCCATAGAGCATAACACTTGAACACAACACAACAGAGCTGAAACTACTAAACTTTGATTTTAATGAGAGGACTTTTGCAAGGAATGCCTCTGTTGTCCATCCAGGATGAAGCCTCTGACAGTGGACTGTTTCCCTCCTCAGTAGCGGCCTCTTCCTCTTCCCCCTCCTCTTCCCCCACCTCTTCCCCTGCCGCCGCCCCAGCCTCTTCCCCGGCCGCTGCTCAGGTGTCCTGCCGAGCGCCGCAGCTTCTTCCTCTCCTCGTGGTGCTCCCGCTCTGCCTGCAGCTGCTTCCTCTGCTGCTCCGACTGCAGAGGAGGACAGAATTATTTATACTTGATGTTACATTTGCTGTAGATGACTGATGACTTCCAGACAGAATCAGAGGAAGAGGCACATTCAGGTGGATAAGCAATAACATACTCAAGTCAACAGTCAAGTATAACTGAAGCAAAAACAATAGGCTCCTTGCACCGTCAGGGCTCGGGCCCTAATTCACTTATTTACCTATTTATTATGATTCCAAAATTAAATTCACATATTGTGTTCTCAGTGCAGATTTAATGCTCTTTATTATTCCGTCTCTAAACTGAAGTGATAACTTATTCCCTACACTTGAATTAGATTTGTGTGCCTATCTATTTCGGCAGTTAATGTAATCATAGTCTGCTCTTCCTTGGGAATTGCTGACATGACTCTACTTAGGAATATTTTCATCATGCTATGCCACGCTGACTTGTTGTGGGAAATGCTTGATAAAGGCTGCTTTGGCCAAGGCTTGACTTTTCATTAAATTTATCATGGATGACAAATAGTGTTGCCTTGGACAATTGTGGCATCAGTTGGTTTACAGCAGATAGTAACTTGATTTTTTTGGTGTTCACTGCTTTGGATAAAGGAGAAAATCCATCCGTTAAGGGATTTATTTGACTTCCTTTGTCTCAGGATGAGTATGAGGAAGAGCCTTGTGCTCAAAACATCCCTACGGATGAGCTTCTACTTGTGCAGATTTTTTTTCATTGATCCGGCACCAATGGAATTTTTTTTTACTGGATGTGAGCGTGTTGTTCACATATTTTGTCCTTTGCTTTGAACAATAAAGCGACAGGGATGATCTACACAGGACAGTAAATCATTTGAGCAGTTTACCTTTTTGAGAGTAAAGGTTAATTGTTTGCTGCCAACTGCAGTGTCGGTCACATTGCTAGTTCCAGAATTTTCCTCCAGCTTCAGACGGTCCTCCAGAGAAGCCCTGCAAGAACATGCACATGTTGATGCCACATAACACACAGTATACATCCACGAGAACCGTCAGAAATAGGCTCTACAATGAGCTGACCTACAGCTGTTAGTATTATTTCTTAAAGTTTGTAAATGTATTCATTCAGAAAAACCTGCAGCTCAATGCTTCTATTACATGATACAAAATAAAGTGAACATCTGCCATCAACAGCTACAAACCCTAAAGTAAACAAAAAAACCAGCACTTGTGTAAGAGTTCCATTTAATACATTTCCAAAGACGTACTTCTGTAGTTTCTGCTTGCGGGCCATGTCGTTAAAACTTCTGAACTCCTCCCCGGCTTTGATTTGATAAAACTGAGGCTGACTTGTCTTCTTGCTCTCGGCCATCTTTGAGGTTTTCTCTCCTCCGTTCTGTTCCCTTTCAAGCAAGACGGTGTTGCGGTCAGCATCCTTCCTCTCCTGCCGCCGGCGGTCTCGGCCCTCCTGCCACAGCAACCTCCGCTGTTCCCTCACCTCCTCCACCCAGCTCTTGTCGTCGTCTGAGCTCTCCTCCTCGGAGCTGGCTCGCCCCTCAGGCTCCTCCTCATTATCAGCCGCCTGGACAAAGAAATTGAAAAGTTTTTAAACATTTAATATAGATATTGTAATATTCTTTCAGGGCTCTGGACACAGGTCTGACTATTCATCCCGAATCGTGTCTAGAAAACACAGTTTGACTAAACATAGCATGCTCCCAGAGGCTTGTGAACGAGATGGAAACAGATGACCGTGTCTGGAAGGATTATGGAGCACCGCAAGCTGGTATCACACTTAATACTCTACTTCCAGTACAAGAAGTGAATGTGGAAAGCCACGATTTAGTTATTATGCCACTTCCCTCTGGCTCAAACTAATTAAAACCCCTCACAAGACTTCCTTCCTTTGTTACATAGAAGCAGTTTAAAAAGCAGTAGTTCAACACCAGTGTTCTTTACTCATACTTACCTAAAAATCCTGGAGTCAAACAGCAGGAGTTGTACCAGTGTTAAAAATATTACCTGTTCAGAAGCTGCAGCCTGCTGAGCCAGTAGACGCAGCTTCTTCTTCCTCTTCTGTCCGACCTTGGAGACGATGGGGTTGAGCAGGCGGTACTCCTCGCTCTGCTCGTCTACCTGGTATTCTGGGTTTTCGAACATCATCTTGAAGCGGTCGTCGCCCAGGATGCTTGGGATAGCCTGCAGTTTTGAAAAGTTGAGATGGTGGAACTGGTTAGGACCAATGCATAAGAAGAGCAAAAAGATTCAGAGAATACAAAGTGTTTTTAAAAGATGCTGTGGTGGGAAATAAATCCAGCTCATGAGGTACAGATTGAAACAAAAAAAACGTTATCTTAATTTCAGTCAATTTGCTTGATAAAACTTTCAACTGAGTCCCATTTTATAAAATAAGAAAGATCACACGTTTATGAGGGTGCCAGACTGAGCACGATAAACAAAAATGCATTCCAGCATTGGAGACAGCATCTTAACAATAAAGCACAAATAGAAACAAACACATAAACACCATTATTTGCTATAGTTGTAACCTCTGTTATCTTACCTTGCCCTTCTTTTTCCTAGAAGCCAGCTCTGCTTCGTCATCACCCTCCTCCATAAGCTTGAGAGCCAGCTCCTTGTTCACCTTGGGCAGCTTCTGTCTCGGTCAGAGCCAGTAGAATATTTCATTAAACACACAGGAAGCAGGAAACATGATCGAACCAGTTTGAATTATTAGGTTTTTACTGACGACTAACAACAGTCACTTGGTTATCTGTTTTTTACTTTTCAAATGAAAGATACACTCACCGTAACCTGCACTCTCTGAGTCCTGGACTCCTCAATCTTCTGGCGGATCTTATCCTTGCGATACTCCTCGTATGCAAAAGGATTAGCCATGCTTTTGACCTGCGGCCAAACCAAACAGCAAAACTGTGAAATCTGAACATTCCGCTTCCACAATAACAACACTTTTACAGTAAGATTTGTCAGTTCAGCCTGAACTCTACAACTCAGCTAAATAGTCAAGATATGTAAAAGAAACATTAATACAGCAGCAACACCAAACCTTGTGATAAAGCCTTATGTCCATGAAATAGCCGTGCATGTAGGCTCTCAGGAGAGATGACCCCACCAGATGAGACAAACCTGATACAAAGTAGTAAAGAGAAAGAAAAGTAAATTAACATGAGGCAGAGATAGATCATTTTTAATTGTGTAAGCAATATAGCTCTATGAAGGCAATGATGGTCTGTAAAGCCCATTTTCCACTGGTCCAAGAACCCACTAACACCCACTAACATCTGACCTTTATCTGCAATGGGAATGAATACATTCAGCATTCACTCTTGGGTCAAATGACTCAGCAGTTGACAGGTTTTTATCAACTCCAGCTCGGATTGGCAGTGATGGATACATGATACCCTGGTGAACGAGACAGCGAGGTGCGAGGCCCTCAGTTTTTGTTACAATTGTGACTTCGAACATGATGCATCAGGGAAAAAAAATCAAAAGCAAACTCCTCTAATAGCAATAGGAAAGAGTTCATTGCCTCTTTTTTTTCGAGACCTTTAGAAAAAACCTATGTATAAACTCTGATTTTGACGACTGACAGATCTTTTTTAGACATTTATGGTCCCAGAGGATGAATCTCAATGGCTCAAATAATTTATTCCCAACGAACTTGACAATCATTATCTTTCCTTGCCTTACATGCTCTTTCAGGCCTTTTGTTTTTGCTGAGCTTGCCAGTGCTTTATGTATTTTAAAAAAATTATGAAATTGTTGCACACTTAAGTTTCTGCACTTTGTCTGATTGGTTTATTTAGTTTTTTTCAGTCGAACAAAGGCAAAATTATTTTTGAATCATCATTTCTCCTAAGAACTCATTTTTCAGGTTTCCATTACCAGCTACTGAATGCAAATTTAACACAGCTAATCACGTCGGGAGCTTTTATTTGCTTAATTCAAGATGAAATGATGAGAACCTAGTTCGAAAGTGGCCAAGAAATGTAACCAATTGTCCAAATGCTTGTGAGCCTCTGAAATAGAATATGATCAAAAATGGCTGTAATTCTGAAACAAAAGTGCAATCTTTTTGATCAACCCCCTTGAATCAAAGTGAAATCTCAACTAAATCTACAACTCAATCCATTGTGGTGGTGCAACGAGGCAAAATTAACTACATTGTGTCACTGTCCAAATACTTATGGCCCCCAAGGTATGTGAAACTAGAATTAGTGTCATTCATTTTTCAGCAGCATTTTGTCTGTGAATGAAAATGGGAGAGGAAACCAGTTTCATTAACCTTTAATTTATATAATATACAGATCAGTTCTAAGAAAATAGTGCTGAGAAAAACTGATACTGAAGTCACAAACTCTCTGTGAACTACAACTGCAGTGTGCAGTTGTAGTGACGAGTAAGATACTCTTCCCAGGACCTAAAACGAGTCAGCCCGGGCTTATTCCAGGTTACATAACAGGGCCACGCTATGCAGTTCCTGTAAATCAACACCGCGGTTGCCCCCCTGCCTGCCCCCTTCTCTCCATTTATTCCACATTAGCCAACCACCTTTCTGCTTCTTGTCATTTGATCTCTTTACTGCTGAGCCTGCATTCCAATGTTCATTCAACCCTTCAAGTGTCCACTCCCCCGACCCTTCTTTCTCCCACCCCCACAAGCTACTGTTCTTACATAAAGCCTCTCAGTCGTTCCCTAGAGCACTGTCTACGACTGTTTTTTTAATACGTGTCCTGATCTGATCACAAGTGGACAGCTTTCAGTTCAGGTATGAAGGCACCAGAGACACATTGAGGAAACGTTTGAGATTTCGATCAAACATTCTGAGGTGGTCTGCGACACATGCGGCCAAATTCTTTTAGCTGTCTGTGTCTGGGCCACATTGAAGGACCGCCTACTCAAATGACGTCCTCTGACCAGCAACAATTACATAATGAACCAAAAATATTTTTACACTTCCTAGTGATTCCAATCCATTAATTTATTTCATATCAAAACTGGGCCACATGTTAATTTCCTACATTAAAATAAATATCTCACATAAGTAAAATCGAGCTTTACATAAAAAATTGATTTACTTCTAACTGCTAGGGCTCTCTTTCTCTCACACACATACAAACACATGGGCAATAGACCTGTCCATCAGTGTCAATAAGAAAATGGACTTTGTCTCTATCTATGTATGTATGGACTTTCATTTTGAGAGCAGTACTTCTTGATACTTTCATATTTGTAAAACTTTCCCTCACACCCCTCCCTCTTAAACAGCCTCTGCTCACATACACATTTTCTCAATTCCTCTTCAGAGCTTTTTCTGCAATCAGAAATATTTTTTTCAGCACAAATGTCTCCCAGTGCATACGTGAAACTTCAGCTCTCAGATTTCTGCACAGACTCAATGAGCCTAATGAAACTCATTATAATGGACTGGGTGCTGAAAAAAGATTTTTTCAAACTAAATGCAAAAAAGACTTTAGTCCTCATTATTGATTCAGACAGCTTCCCCAGTTACGCAACATATTAGTTGATTTTCTTCTCCTGTGCAGTCTAATCGTAGAAATCCTGGTGATATATATAATCAGTGATGGTCTTTGAACATTATATCAAATCATTGACCTGTAGGTGATTTTTCCATTTCACAAATGGGGCCATAGACAATTATTCAGGCTTTTGTTTCATCCTGTTTGGTCTACTGCAATTCACATGGACACTCATGTACACTAAGCATGCATAGAGCTTTTGTTTGTTTGTTGCAGAAAGAGCTAGCCTGCAAAAGAGAAGCAGCAATTGCAAATAATAGCTCATCTCCTACACATGTAAGCAGTTGTATCAATGTAAAACTGCTGTTAGCAAAGACAACAGGGTCAGCAAAGCTTCTTATTGATTATCCTATGCATTTCAGGACCCAGACCAATCAGCAATGGCTACGTCGTGACTGAAAAGACCCAACTAGCAAGCAGTTGGCAATGTCTAAGTCATCATGATGCAGCCAGGATATTTTCGGACTAAAATGGGACAAGCAGTGTTTCCAAACTTCTGAGTCTTAGTGGAGTAATGTCTACATCATCATGTAAGCTGAAACGCTATGTGCTTTGAAAAAACGTTCAGACTGACGTGCATGTGTGAAAGCAAATGTTTCAAGTGAGATGCTCCACAGTCTCCGCAGACTTTCTCTGCCTGGCCTCCTGGTATTAAGTCCTAAGAAATCCAGTTGTGATCACAGTGGGGGATCCTCCACTGGAGTCATCACAAGTAGGGGGGTTGATGGTGCTTGTAACATCCGACAGATGCAAAGATAACTATCTCCTAGTGAAAAAGCGGTGAAGACCGAAGACACAGATGAAGACAACAGTGTCTTTGTGGTGCAAATAAAAATCATGTGATCCCCGCAATGGAGTTAAGATGTCACTTCCTGTCTCTGTCTGCTGCACCCTGCTGCTCCAACTCTCGCCTGAATAATGTAAAGGATTTGTTGCTGTCGTGAACGCGTCTGTGCAGAGAACCTCCTGCTGTATTGTGTATGTGTGAAAGCGAGATGGCTGGTAAAATCCGTAACCAAATGGACTGCCTTTGAAAAATACTAAACTAATTCTGTGTGTTTTTGCAAATTGATTTGCACATGGAGTGAAGAGAAATGGAGGCAGCAAGGTCTCACCCAGATTTTCCAGGTCCTTGCGGGTGACAAACTTGTAGTCATCGTACACTGTGCTCTCTGGACTCTCCTCCAGCTCCTCTGTCAGGTTGTCGAGGAAGGAGCACCACCGAGGTGCAGGGCCCAGAGCCTAAACACACACACATGGTTCATATTTAGAATACTGAGTAAGTACTAAACCTGCTGTGTATTCGACGAAACAAAAATAGTCTTTACTGTAAAAGATTATGTTTCAGTTAGAAATTACTCAGATGCTTCTGTGGACTCAAAACTGTTGACAGAGCAGAAGCAACTGCAAAGTGTGTTGCAATCGTTGATGAGCAGTCGTTTTCACAGTGTGCACGTTAACAGTTTCATGCCACCCTACACTGTGTGCTTGAAATCCTCACTTCTGCATAAGTGTTGTGCTTAGACACACAGTTGTATATAATGTCCAAACCAGGAATTTCAGTATGTCACTGTCACCATCTCATACAGAGTTATTAACAGCTAATTAATCTTAACATTCTGAGAAACAATTAATCATTAAACTTTCCAAAATTCCCCGCATTCTCTCATTCCAGCTTCTCCACTGTGACTATCTGCTTCTATTCTTTGCAGTAAGTGATAGTAAAGAGAATATCTTTGGATTTTTGACTCTCTGTTTGGATCAAATAAGCCATTAACAACTTTCTGATATTTGAAACAGTTCAGAGAGGTGGAGTAGCCGGTTGCAGCAGGCAGAGGCAGGAAGTATTAACTCCACTGCAGAGATCACGTGATTCTCTTTACAACACACAGACACCGATGTGTTTTCAATAATAAGAACCTGAGGGGTCTGGATAAGATCAGCACAAAAACACACAGCAGAAAAAACCCCAAAAACTGAGTACTAAACAACTCTGTCTCTCTTTGGTATCTGTGTAAATTACTGGATAATTTCATATCTTAATCCATTATTAAATCATTCAAATGAAAAATACTGAGGAGTATAATCAGTTTATTGTTGAGCTGGTTAAAACCCATAGAGACATCAGGTGCCAGTGGCTTTCCTTTAATCAAAGTCTACACAACACTCTCAGTAGCTGTAATGCATTTTTGTTTATCATGCTCAGCCTGGCACACTCATAAAAGTAGGATCTCTTTTGTTTTATAAAGATATATGAGTTTTCTCGGTAATATTATGATGTAGATTCATTCTCTTAGATTAGTGAGATTTTTGTTTGATGTTGGTTGCAATGTGTTGACAGACATTTAGTAGTATAAATGATATGGATGTGTATTAACGTATCCTGTTGCTGAAGCATTCTCTATAAACCCGTGGGGACCCCAGGTAGAGTAAGCAATACAATAAAGTGAGGACCTACATACCATGAGTACCATGTGTTATTTGTTCCTTATCAGGATGTCTGAGATGAATCCCTTCAACATCTACTAATTACATCTACTTATACTTCATCTACTAATTGCAAAAGATCTCTGTCTGTCTGGATGTGGAATGTGCATCTCGCAAACCGTTCTATTATTCGATCACCACAAAAGCAACAGCAAATGATTCTCCAGTTTGTTGTTTTGCAAAGCGAGTGGAGCTTCACCAAACTGTGAATCAACAGGTGAGGTCACTTTAAGTTTTGAAGAGCAGGCTGAACTCCTATTAACAAAAAGGATGATGATAATAAATGTTAATAGCAGCCCTGCTTTTGATCAGTGGTTTAAGACCATTTTTATGAAGGAAAATATGTGTTTCACAAAACTTTTATGAGTTAGAGAAAATTTTCATGATCTAAGTTGACAGTTTTGTGAATGTTGGCTCCACTTTAGGTGAATCGCAGCCTTAGTATAGCTGTGAAATGAGCACGTCCTGATTTGTATGAGCACTTGCTGTTCTGGGAGCTACTTTTTATATAATACCCCAGTAACTAAACTTCTAATCCTCCTATTAAACCCCTAATCAGGATGTACATTCAGAAATGTTTGAAGACCCTGCCACTTAAGTTGCCCTCTTATACGTCACCTTCTGACATAACAGACTATCTGCGTAGGAAAGTTCAGCGGTATCAGGTATCAGCTCATTGATGAAGCTAAACAATGAAAGGTGCTAGAGGTCGGATTCTGTTGACTTTGTCCTCAGTGTAACACAGCATGACGTCATCATCTCTGTGGACTGAGCAGATTGCACATAACAGGCAGACATACTGAGTTCAAAGTCGGTGCAAAAAATGCTGATGACAACAGCCTTAACTCATCATGCGGCAGCTTTGACATTATCAGATAACTGACAGAGAAACTTGACGGCCCACACCCTCTATTGCCGACTCGCCCATGTCCAAAATGATCGGCTGAGAGGCTTGTTAATGAGCTGTTCAGCACCTAATCTCCTTTAGAGCACCATTTTTTTTTCTTAGATATGAGTCTGGGATCCAGGCACCTGATGAAAAAAAGCCCACATACTCACCGGGATGTAGAAGGTGTTCATCTTGGGATCTTCATTGGCAGTGAAGAGCATACCTGTCAATGACAAGATATTTGACATTTAAATATTGAATTTAGTACAAATCAAGTTTCAATTTGGACAGGCAACAGCAGAGGGTTTAAAAAAAAAATAGCCATGAGGCAACTGAAAGGCAGAAAAGGAAAAAACTAAATGATTTGTATTATCAGGAATCAGCAGTCAAACACGTGTGAACTCAACTGTGGGACAGCGCCACCTGTTGGTAGAAAAGAGGAGCAGGAATTCTAGAGGTTGTGTCAAGGGTGCAAATGTGTAATAGTTCTCAGTGACCATTTTAAAGCAATGATTCGCACAAATCTTGCAAATCCCAGGCTATGAAATTTAATAATTTACCATATAACAAAATAATGCCAATAATCTTCAGTGTAAAATAATTCCAAGATGATGATGTATTTTTTCAATACAGGGGAGTAAATAGGATCTAAGCAGTGAATGTAAAAGCCAAAAAATTATTATGTGTTTCTATTGTTGAAGTGAAATTGTGAAAGAATGCCAATATAAACATAAAGACTGATATACAACACAATTTTTTCGTTGAATACTCAGGAGTAGCTTAAATTTTTGTTTTGATATAGAATATAGGTGGACATATATAAGCATTTGGTCCTGCCTGAACCTTTTCAGTCACTATATAAGATTGTTAGACTTTGTTTATACTTAAATGTTGAATCTGCCAGCAAACTTAGATTTAGATTTGATTCTAAATATCATTTTGTTTTACTATTGTGATCTAAATATTTGACTTAATTTTCATTTTAAAGTCACGTTTCGATTAATCTGTATGTTTCTGCTGCTGCGAGTGACAATGGTAGTTTCTCTACATAAGGACCTATTAGCTTTATCTTATCTTGTGATCTTGCTGAAGTTATTCTCACCTGAATTAGGATACATGCACACATCATTAATGTTGGCCTGAGGCTGTATGGAGGAGAACACCTTGCCCTGTGGAAGACAGATAGAATAGGTAAGAGATGAATGGTGTCAGAATAGTCCAGACCGATGAAGAGGCAGTTCTGTTTGTGTTGTACCTTTGAAAACACATTGTGAAAGAGCAAAGCAAGCGTGAAGAGGAATCTCTGAACAGATACTGAAGTGTGCATATACATTCCCTATGTCTTCCTCTGTGATGGAGCTAACTAATCTCAGTCAAAACTAAATCGATCAATAATTTGGAGGGTAGCTGACGGTTAACTGGAACTTCTTCTAATTGGCCGCGGTGTGGATGCAGTATTATCAATAAGTTTTCAGAGTGAGGCAGAGGGGGTTCGTTCTCATCTGGCCCTGTCACACATAAGTAAATGTATCAGCAGCAAACTTCCACTCCTCCTGGTTCACTCCCAATCAGCGCAACCTCCGAGGCAAATCAAACATTTGCTTTCTGTGGTGAAGGAAATCACAGTGTGGAATCATGTGGAGTTTAACTTTGGTGAACTTTGAGCCGATATACTTGAATGGCGTAGTTACGGCAAAACACACTATGATTTCACTGATTTCATATATTCTCATGTTAGGGGAAGGATGCTTAAAGATGCCAATATTTAAATATGAAAACCAAACTTCATATACTTCATCATCATTCATGTGCAGCAGGTCTTACATTGTCTTTGTTCCAGAATTTTATAATCTTGGAGTCAGCAGACACAACCAGGTCGAGCTGATCGTGGAAGTTGAGCGCCTTAATTGGCAGGTTGTAGAAGTGGTCTTTAACCAGCAGCGGTTGGTTGGAGCGCAGGTCGTACAGCAGAACCTTCAGAACACAGCACAGGGTGGATAACAATGTCATTCAGAAATGTAGTTTATTCTGAGAGAATACAAGATTCCACCAAACTTGAGCTCACCTGTCCTGTGCTGGTGCCGACTGCCATGGTGAGGGAGCCATTAAACTTCAGAGCGCTGATTGAAGGCAAACCTTGAACTCTGTTGAGAAAAACACATTATTAGAGTAATAAAGGTCAAAGTGAGACATACATCATAATGACAGAGAGACTGTAGCTTTGCTGAGACAGAATAAAAAAACAACTGTGATTTGAGAAGAGGAGGATATTTCCACACTTCACTATTCTGATGCACAGCTTGCACTTCATGCAGCTCAGAGACAGCAGGGCTCCAGAATGTAGCCCCTTACTGAAAATTTGAACTTTATCTGTACAGCCTGCACAGACTTATTCTTATGAGGTGCTCCACTGTCTCTACATGCAGGGACCATCTGACATCACCTCCTCTTCTGTGCTAAGAATCCTGTCACATATCATTCTGAAACTGGCTATTTTGCACTTTTACTTTAAGTACCTGCTGATTAGGCCTGGGTATCGCCACTGATTTCCCAAATCGATTTGATTACGACTCACAAGGTGTCCATTCGATTCAATATCGATTCAGTTAGGGATATGTCAGTCTACAATACCAATTCTGCTTGGATATGAAAGAATTTATCAGAGAACTAAAGCTGTAAACTGTGAAAGGAAACCTATCACTTGGTGCATTCTTATAAATATTAAGGTAGGCCTGTCATGATAACAACTTTTGTTGGACGATATCAAATGTCCCAGAAATGATTGTGATAAATTATATTACTTTCATACCCCTGAATAAATAATAATATTAGATCATAATAAATAAATAAACCATAAATAAAATAAACCACACACAACCAATATAATAAATAACATTGACTCTCTGGCTCTGTTAACAGAAATTGCTCTTGGATAAATATTAAACATTTGGCAGAGTATGTGTAACCAGCTCGGTAAACAGGATGGGAGGATTATGATTTAAATACAACTGCTGCCTCTGCTCTGATCATTGTGTGAGTGAGTGGGGGCAGGGCCCTGGGGCCTGTGTGTGTGTGTGTATAGACTCCACCTCGCACCCAGCACACACACAAAATGTTTTATTTGCTCCTGGTATTTAGCGTGATGGTATATACAATGATGATTTTGACAATAAACGGGGGGCAAATTTGTCTCCAAAAATAGTCGCAAAATGAGACTATCTGGAGCCCTGTACAGACAGTGGACAGAGGATATGTAGCTTCATATGCACCATCAGTCTGATATCAGCTGAAACCATTCAGTTTGGTACTTACTCTGTTCCCTCAGTGAGGCTGCTCAGTGCACAGTCCAGTATGCCCACTCTGTTCCGCACACGAGGGTCCCAGCATTCCACCCTTCCCTGGTGACCCAACAGATGAACCAGTCAGTTAAATACAGGGACTGTGGGTTTTTAACATACACCTCAATTCAAAGCAACAGTTCAATATGACTTTGATCGTGCACTAAGTTATATTAGGTAGACTGGTGGGTCTTTAATTGCCACAGTGCCCCCCGGAGGCCTAGAAGTGCACTATGTAACTGATGGAACATTACGAGCTGCTTTCCTGGTGAAAAGTGCCAGGTAATGGTTCAAAATTGTTGAATTGAATATGAAATTTATAGTACGTATATTGAACATTTTTTACAATAAAATAGAAGTCTAAAGTTTTTAAAGAGACAGGCTGTCAGGGCAAGCAAACCAAGGAAGGCTCGACCGTAGACTATATACAGATGAAGAACACAACAGTAAAATGAACCCAAAACATCTCGACCGCGATATATTTAGGATTGTGTGCAATCTGGTGCATGTCCAAATGAAAATCTGGAAACAGCAGATGGTTCATAGGAGGTAGGATCTTTCAACTGCTGTGTATGTCACCACAAACAAGTTGCAGCAATAACATAATGTGACCTATAAGTATACTATAAAGATAGTTTGGTTTTAAGGGGACTGTGGCAGAGGTAGCTGCTCTACTGCCTAGTCTCAGATGCATTTAGCAGCAAACAGCCAAATACTGTTTCACTTGAGTCTACTAATAACTGTGGCCTCACTTCAAACACATTTTGCCATGGCACGTACCTCTGAGGTCCCTGTGGCAAGCAAATGATGGACGGGGTTGATGTCACACACATTGTTCTCCCTGGTGGAGAAGTGAAGAAAAAAGAGGCATCGTGAACATCAGAGAGCAATCACAGCAAATTGTTTCTGTCCAACTGCACCAGTGGTAGAGTGGAACAACAATTTGATTATTTACACCTGGATGAATTTACATTTAACCACTGCTATTAATGGATCATATGCATATTATTGCACACATCAACAGTCACATACTACCCATGGTAATACTTACACAGCATCAGTCTGGAGTGAGTTGAGAAAGCGCCCTTGTTCCAGATTCAGCCTGAAAACCTCTGAACTGTAAAAGAAAATTCCGGTGTCACCCAACAAGCTTGTTTATGGGACATGCTCAGGATGCATTTTGAATGAAGAATGACAGAGGCCCTCAACATCCATTATTCAATCACTTATTCACCTTGTCCCCACAAAGAAGAGGTCACAGGAAGGGTAGTGGTAAGAAAAGTCCCGTCCGAACTTTGGAATACGCGTCTTGTAGTAGTGTCCATGCTGAGAGTGGATCTCTACGTAGCGGTCACAGTGCAAAAACACCAACTGCACAGACACAAAGCAAACATTACAGAATGAGTGTCGTCAAAAATGCTGAATAACACAAGGGAAATCTGGGAGTTTGGTGTGACACACACTCACACAGACATAAAAATATATTCACATAACAGGATAAATAAGTAAATTAAAGCCTTGACTGTTCTATGCTGTGGAATCATAGTAAGCAGGAACTGTTTTCTCTGTGGAAGTATATATAACTGGTCTGGCAACATTGTTAAGATTAATATCCGATTTTTTTGGTAAACGTGTATTCTGTTGCCAGGAAGTCCACGTTTATGAGCAATTTCCCTGGTAAGTATAGACACTGGAAGGACAAAAAAATGTGTAACACCTCTAAATGTATTGTCGTCCAGCACAACACGGCCTTTACCTCGGCAATATATGTATTTCTGAATTTATTCATTTTCAACAATGTCACCAAAGCTGCATAATAGGTGCTTGGTAGACATATGGAAAATGTATATTATAAGATTGCAAAGGTTTTACCTGATAAAATGGCCAATGAACATAATCAATATGGGGCTAACAACAAACATTTGTCCTTTTAATAAGAAATTTTACAACTAGGGATCGTTACATGGCTGATTTTGATGCATGTCTTCTCACGATGTTACAAGTGAGTCAACACATTTTTGTGATTTTTGTGTCTGCCACATATTAGAAATCTTCTTGCTCTCGGTGAATCCTGCGGAGGATCTGCTGTTTTCTCACACCGGCTTATTCTGACATTCTCCTGTGTTTTTACAAGGCTCTCACTTGGTCATTTACCCTCATACATAGAGCCCATTTGGAGAGTGCCTGGGGTTCAGTGCATGTCTGAAAGCAGCTATACACAGATCATGTATAAAAACCAACAAGTCTAAAAGCATTGTTTTTAAGTGTTGGGACAGCAGGTCACCGATGTCTTACCTTAGAGTAGTCATCAGACAAGATGTCAAAGGCCAAAACTTTGAGGGAGAAAAAAGAATCTTGTTAAATTTAGTCATTAGTGATGTGAAGGCCAATGAACAAGTGGGTGCGTCTACTGACTTACCCTCTGAATCCAGACAGCGTTCAAACTTCAGGGACAGATGATAGGTGTCATAACAGCGAACCCTGGGCTTGTAAGTGCCTGATATTAACAGATTAAAATGTCAAAAGTCAAAAATATGAAATCACCAGCATGATTGGAGCATTGGAAGATTATATCCACAGCTCATCTCACCTACTGCCAGGATGAACTGCCCGTCTCTAGACACTTTGATTGAGTTGCACACTGTGGGCATCTCAAAGTCCTGGATGAGCTCGATCCTGCGCTGGATGTCTGGAAAAAGAAACACAATAATAAGTCAAAAATAATTATGTGCATCTTGGGAAAATAAATAACCTTTGTGTAATGCTGAACTCACCTGCATCTTTCTTTTGTAGCTGTCTTTTCTTCCGATCTGACAGCCACTGCATTAAAGAAGACACTGTTAATCTCATAAAGAAGCATCAGTTAAGAAAAAGGAATAAATCAGTAAACATACCATATAAACATCGGAGAAATGTGGGACATGGCAAAAGCGATATTATATAAAATTTTAAGATGATTGCACATAGAAAAATATGGAAATTCAGATAAGATCATCCATAATTAGTCTTACACAATGGGGACATTTGCCCTGTTACAGCAGCAAAGGGGCTCGAAAAAAGTAAGAGGGGAAAATAGAACAAAATATTTAAACATACAAGATAGACATAGAAAAACAGGAGAGCTGTGAACACAAGGAAATACACAATCCAACAAAACAATGTGAAGAGGATTGTGCACAGAAAGGTAATGAAACTTCACAAAGTATCAGGATAAGATGGAGATATCATTTGTATAGAGCAGAGGCACAGGATGACTGAGGAGGATGTGAACTGTGTATGTGCATTAGTATAAAGAGATATTAATAGTTTGTATGACATGACACCTGTGAGAACAATGAGGTGATCCATTATAAAACAGTGCTTGGTTACAGAAAGGCTCTCATCTCTAATATGCGTGTTGTTTATTCTGGTTTAGGTCAATTCTATTACTGGTGCTGCATTTTCTGATATGAATGAACAGAATGAGGGATGGAGGCTGAACTGAGGCATCTTAAACGATGACCAAACACATGTACAGCTACAGTTACATGGAATGTGACATTAACGAGGTGAGTTCATGTTAAGAGTGGTTTTTTTTCTCCATACATAATGTTGGGGCTGCTCTTCACACGTTAGCCGGGCTTGTTAGCTTGTTAGCTACAGTTAAACTTGTTGGGTCGATTCTTACCTCCGGAAGAGACTTCCCGTGACTCAAGTTATAAATCTTCACATCGTTCACACTTGATATCTGCATCGTGGACAGTGACAGAGACTCCGGACACACACACACACACTCTCACTACACTGTGGTGAATCCACGTTGTTTCCACGGCGCAAAAACAGGAAGTGGAGGTGAGTTCTGTGACACGTGTCCGGGTGGAAACAACACTCACCGCACACGGTCCTGTTCCTCTCCGCTGTTATTTTTAGTTTAAAGTTCAAGAAATTATTTCTCAAATAATCAATCAGTAATTAAAACAATATATCTACAAAATTTAAAGTTACAAGTCAATAATATGGCCTTATTATGTTTCTATATGATCAGGTCATCCGAGTTACCAAGCAACTCTATTTAAATTGTACAATAATATATGAAAGTTAAATAGTGTGATAATCTCTGAATAGAATGGAGCACACAACTATACAACTTCAATACACACAAGACGATAAATAAAATAAGATAAAATAACATTGTCATAGATAAGCGACTTCTAATAATTCACAGGCTGCTATAAAGTTATGAATTAATTTGGCCTTTTTCTTCTTCATATACATCAAAGATTTGTTGTACAAAACTGTAAATAGAGGCTTTGTTTTTTATACATTTACACTAATGGATTCAAACCTTTTTCATAGTAAGTTAAGCGTTCAACAGCAAACCGAATTTTCATCTGCCATTGTAATTCTAAATTTGACTTTATTCCTGGTGAAGTGAGAGCGATTGGAGTTCAGTTCCAGCCAATTGTTCATGTCACACCAATGCGTGTTGCTGTAAAGCCCGAGGTAAAACACAAGATCGGTACTGTTGATTTCTTCATCACACAAAATAGAGTCATTTAGATCAAAGTAAAATCTTTGTCCGATGAGTTCTCTTGAAGTTTTTAATCTCAGTTATTAATTTTGAAATTAAGCTCTTATACTCTTTTGAATATGATAATAAATTTGTAATTTATAACTAGCTACAAGTATTTCTGTTGCTGTTTGAGTTTCAAACAAAATACCACTTAAATGGGATGGAAGAAAAATCAAGACCACACCTCTATACAACTACAAAATAAATACTAATAAATGCATAGAAATAACCCAGAAGGAGTTGACATCATCACGTGTTGTTTCCTGACTCTGCAAAGTGTGGCAGTATAAAAGATATTTTAAATTGATCACATGTAGACTTTTAATGCACATGTTTTAAAAAGTGAAAATGAAACAGTAGCAGGTGAAATTTGTGTTGATAACTTGACGTGTCAGGGACTGACTGAGTCAGTCAGTCTCAGGTGGAGCTGCTGCTCACATTCTAACAGAGGGACTGACGCAGGACAGTCATGAGGATGACCTGACGGTAAGAAGCTTTATCACCTTATTTAGCTTCCTTTTTTAAAACTTTTGTTTAACTGTGTGTAGCCATAACCAAAGAAAATATGAATACGATAATAGGACATTATATAATTCAATCATCTAGTGAAAGAAGTGATGAAATATGAAAATGTACACTTACAAAGAAGTGTAAAATCCTTGCATGTAATCTTAGCATGAGAGACTGTCTGATTTTAATGTTACTGTGTTTTTTTTTTTTTTTTGCTCTGGGTCCCAGGCTGTTTGGTGCCAAATCCTGTTCAGGTGGGGAGGATTCTGACTGAGGGTCTCTATGTGAAATAACGGGGGAGTCATGACAGACTTGTGGTTGATTTCTGTCCCACTGGATAAGACCAGTTTAACCAGTGTAGAGCAACTCAAGCGCACCATTGCCAAAACCAGCCGGGTCTCCTGCTGCAAGTTCTCCATCCCAGATCTCAAGGTGAGGCTGCCTGTCATCCGCCTGACAGAGTCATTATATATTATAAAATATACAGAACAAATAAACAGACATGAAAGTTGTTGGAACTAAAGAGGAGAAGAATGTGTGTATTAGTTATGTGTTTATTCCAGTACAGTATAGCGCTGCTGAGGAGGATGACGGTGTTTGGTGTCCTTCTCAGGTGAAGGGATGAAGGCTCAGGTTGCTCTCTACAGTTTGAGGCAAAAATTCCATCTGACCCATTTCACTCAGCGTGATCACTGTTCACCTCAGCTGACAGGGGTCACATTTGAAGTGTAGTTTTGTCCCAGTTCAAACATATAAAACCCTTATAATCTGCTAAAAGAGCATATTACTCAGATTTGAGCTTTTTTTCATTGGCTTCAAGTAAATTTTAGATTTTGAGATTTTATTGCTGACTTCCAGGGCCTGTTCTGGACATCATATGTGTCCGGTCACAACATGTCCTCAGTGAAGGCCTTGTTTGCCATTCCACAGCTCCAGCTGAGGACCAGAGGTGACAGGGCCTTTTCTGTCAGGGCTCCCACTCTTTGAAACAATCTCCCAGAGTAGATCTGTGAGGCAAACTTATCCTCTTTTAATTCTCTATTAAAGACACAAATTTGTGTGTACTTATCTTACCAACTATTTAAATCATTTTGCAGTGTTTTAATTCATTTTGTTTTACTCTGTTCTAATCTGTAACATGTTTTATTTCTGTTCTGTATTCCTGTGCGATCTTCAAATTGTTTTTTGACTGTTTCCTATTGCTGGCCTTCAGTTTGTAATTTTAACTTGTAAAGTACCTTGTGTATAAAAGGTGATTATTATTAATATTATTCATGTCATATGTGGACACCTCCAGGCTGCATCTTAGGAGCCAGTAAGCTCACGTCGCTTCTGTATTGTGATTTGAGCTCTGGATGATGTCGAAAGGATGATGCGTCAGCCCCAGTAACACTACCACCATTAACTGTGCTGTCTATGCTGTGACCGCAGGTGGGAATACTGGACAGTCTGCTCACTATGTCAGAGGATCTTTCCAAACTTGACACACTGACTGAAAGGTAAAAACCTGCAAAAGATTGAACCAAACTGTACATGTTGCCCAAGCATGGATCCTGTTTTATCCCAGTGATCATTGCTCGTTTGCAGCTTAATGTGCAGCTTTGTCCTTAATTAAGACCAGTAACTCTAAGCTTGTGTGCGGTCTGTGCCATGATTAATTGATGGTCAGGGGCAGCTGACGGTTAGTTTTCCCTCCTGATTTTAAATTCATTGTTGGTGAGCGGACGCAGTGTAAGTGGGGAGGCCTATTTACGACATCAAACCAGACCAATTTATTTAATGGTTTAGTCAAAATATCTTGAAATAAGTTTGATTTGTTTTCTGTCTCTGTCCTCAGTTGTATGTCTTTATTCACTTAAATTAAAGCCCTGTTCCACTTTTTTATTTCAATAGGTTTATGAGTGTTGAGAAGACAAATTTGGGAAAATGAGATTTCCTGGGATTAAGGCTGTAAATTATACTTCCACCAAGGAGGTAATGTTTTCACCCTGTCCATTAGTTTGTTTTTAACGAAGATTACTCGGAAAAAAACAGGCAGATTTCCATTAAACTTGTTAGTAGGCTGAGATATGGGTCAGGGAAAACCCTACTAAATTATTGTGCAGATCTGGATCAGAGGACAGATCCAAGAATCCTTTTTTTAACATTGCCAGATACGGGGATTTGCCGACATTCCCAGGAAATGATTAATGTATCTTTGGATTCATGGATATCTGTGTGTGTAAAAAGATTATTGGTCCTGAGCTATTCTTGTTAAAATTGTATATTATATAATATCATATGATATAGTATATTCTTCCCTTTGTCGGCTCAGTGTGATCAAAAAAACATGTCAGTGTATGAGGGAGGTGATGGAGCACTCTACTGACAAAGTGCTGGAAAACGCCTTAGCCAATGGAGGTGAGTCTCTCTCTCTCTCTCTCTCTCACACACACACACGCACACACACACACTGATGGTGCTGATTACATTGTTTACAAACTCATCAAGTAAGTGCATAGAAACCCCAGGGTTTCATGTATATTGCAAATGACACTACGAGCTGCTTAAATCATGCTCCATATGCAAACTCACATACACTCACTGAGGCAGCAGGAGAACATAAACCAGGCTAACCGCTGTCTCCGGTCACATTCCTCCATCAGACCACGGGGAGCCTCAGAGAGCCGTCCTGTCGCCCCTGAAAGCTTACCTCAAGTCTGTGAGAGGTATTTTATCTGCTCTTTGAGCTGCAGTGCAATGATGTGTGACCCTTCTTGTGCAAAGTGTATGTTTTTAAATCACTTTTGTTTCCTGAATAACACATTTCACTGTGTGGTGGTGTGATGTTTTTTACAACTGTGCAAATGTTTGTTTTGGAATCAGGTCACGACCTATGACTCTGTGTGTGCGTGCGCGTGTGTGTGTGTGTGTGTGTGGTGTGTGGTGTGTGTGTTTCTCAGTGGACCTGATGAGCTATGTGACAAAGTTTCAGTGGGACAAAGCCAAGTATCCCACAGCTCTGCCTCTCTCCAGCCTGGCAGATATCATCAACAAGGTACAGACTGCTGAAAATGAGGATTTAATAAGTGTTGTATAAATATATTTATTACAGTCAGAACCAGCTGCAGGAGATCTCCAGCAATGAATAACTGCACTTTCACAAAGTTGCAAGACAGAAAAGAAACATTGAAAGTCAGTGAAATAGAAATCACATTGTCTTGAGCTTCAGTCATGGAGCAAATTACTTAGTGAAACAATTAAGTTTCTTCTGGAATTTATATATAGTCTTCGAATGTGATTGTGCCTCTCAAAAGTGGGCTAAGCAAAGAGATAGGACTGTTCACTTCTGCTCACACCTTCCTCACCATGTGTGCCAGGAAGTTTCTCAGGTGGAGACGGAATTGAAATGTCGAGCTGCGGCGTACAACAGTGTGAACACAAGCTTGCAAAGCCTTAAGCACAAACTGGAGTGAGTAACATCCATTTACGATTAAGTAGAAACACATGACTGTGTAAATTATCTAAATGTTAAAGTCTGTCTTTCCAGGGGGAATTTGCAAACTCGCAGTCTGAATGACATCGTGAGGAGAGAAGACCTGGTGGTCTCAGAATACCTCACCACTCTACTGGTAGTGGTGCCCAGGTCAGTGATATAACAGAAGTGTAAGTGTGTAAATGTATATTGTGATATTCCTAATGTGTTTGAATGTGTTTTGGTCCCAGAGGGTGCTACCTGCAGTGGGAGAGGACCTACGAGTCTTTGTCACAGTTTGTGGTTCCCCGGTCGAGCAGGTGAGTCGTCTGTATACACTGTTGGCCTTTAAAAGAGAAAACCACTCCACTTGATCCAGGTGCAGGTGCACTGGCTAAGCTCTGAGTAACTGCTCTCAACATCCACAGGGTCAGGCTCAGTAACCACCGGTGTTCTATTACCTGCAGAAAGTGAGAGTTCTGCGTGGCGAGTCTTATTACTTACACCAGGGGCTTCTCTTAATGCGACAGGTGAAAATGTCTTCCATAAAAAACCTGTTTCAGTAAATGAACAAGATCGCAATGCCACTATTACGACGTAGACTCGGGTCGGCAAAGTGAAGCCAATACGGAAGTGCCTGAAACCTATATTGTATCGAATGACCAGCAGAGGGCGACTCCATCGGTTGCAAAAAGAAGTCTGTTTCTACAGATGTCAACAGGACAATGACCCTAATTCTCACTTGAGTTATAACGCCATGTTTCAAGTCTTCTTCAATACAGCATTTTGTCCATTTAGTAAATTATTATCCCATTTAGAGTAAAACAAATGAGATCATGATTTCCATTGGGGCATGGATACTATGTGATTGACAGATTCACAGTACCGTCCAATGAGTGTAGGTGTTAGTGGACATGCGGTTTTCTTGAGCTCTGATCGAAATGCCAAACCTGAGGTTTCAATTCGGCAACTCACAAACCAATGGGTGTCGTCGCAGCTGGTTTCCACTTGGGAAAGAAACAAGACAATAACATATTATAGTATTATATAGTATATATATATAGTATATTGTTCCAGGCACAACAACAAAAAATATATCTGCCAATATCAGCAGGGATTGTCTTCAGCCCCCCTACAACCCTCAAAGGATAAACACTACAGCTGATGGATGAATAAACTGATGAATGGATTGATGGGTGAAATACAAGAAAAGAAATGTATTGCCGTCTCCACAGGAGACTGTGATGTGAGAAGCCATCATTGCTCACTTCAGCCTGTCACTGATGATGAAGCCTCAGACAAGTTGTGATGGACAGTTGGTCGATTTTCAGTCTGTCTCCATCTCACAAGAAGAAAAGAATCATCACACCTACTCTACTCTTGAAAACTAAAGAAACACTGTTATGGGTTTAATATTGGTAGATCTCTGCTGCCCTCTGCTGAGCCAACTTGGAAAAGCAAGACTCCTCTCCTCACTGAGTTTAAAATTCAGAGTTTGAAAAATTCATTTCACAGTGAAAACAATCCATTCACCTTTCAGACAAAAAGTGAAATAATTATCCATTTAAGATTTTTAACGATAAAGATGAAAATTGTTTTAGTTTTTCTTATCGTAGAGATTAAATTTTCTTATCGTGCCATTATGTGCCCAGCCTAAAACGAGCCTACAAGACGTCCATTATTTATAAAAAGAACAAAATAGGAAAGAAAGAAAGCAGAGTAGCAGCACCAAAAACAAAACCTAACCAATAATAATTTAACAAGGTTTAGAAAAAAAGGTTCCAAACTTATTAACATTTAAATGAAACAATAATTCAACTTTATCATCATCTGCACATCAGAACATTTCAGGATTTTGAATATTGAACATGACATTTCATGTAATATAGATTCTTCTTAACTCTTCTTAATAAGGGCAATACAGTAGAACATGTGATTCATCCTCTCTTAACTCACCTCAAGGATGTTTTAGATCAACAAACTCTCAGGGCCAGAGGAAAGATTTCCTCATTAACAGATCACCCAAATTATTCCAATTCATCCAAAGCGGAACAAACAATAAATGTCAGTTAGCTGGTTTACAGCTAAAAACAACAAAAACAAACAACAAAAACATGCATCATTAATACAAATTGATGTTTATTCCCCTTTATTATACATCATAGAAAACAATATTATCTTCACAATGCTTGATATAGAGTATAATTATTGCAGTGCATCAGTATCACACAGCTAATTCTTCGTTCTCTTTCTCTGTCATGGTTTTGTCTGACCATCAGGAAGCTGCACGAGGACGGAGAGGGGGGACTTTTCTCAGTCACACTTTTCAAAAGGTCCGTGAGTGAATTTAAAGTCAGAGCCCGGGAGAGCAAGTAAGCAGGAAGGATATCCAGTAAACATTCCATCATCAGGTCAAAGACGTGTTGTCTGTGTCAGTTACCACAGCGTAGCCTCTGATCCACAGGTTCACTGTGCGTGAGTACAGCTTTGATCAGGAGGAGGAGAAGCAGCAGGAGAGGAAGCAGCTGAGCGTTCACAAGAAGGAACAATACGTGAGTCAAACATCATGGATTCTTTCTGTAGAGTTGGATTCTAGTGTTTGTGTTTTGTAGATATTTCTGCTCTGCTCCTCCACAGGGAATCTTTGTGCGCTGGCTGAAGGTTAATTTCAGCGAGGTGTTTATAGCCTGGATCCACTTGAAAGCGTTGAGGGTGTTTGTGGAATCAGTCCTCAGGTCAGTGCTGATATCATGTACTCTCAACTATAATGAACAATTGACATGTGGAGCATGTGTGTGTAAACTCATGACGATATCCCACTCCCAGGTATGGATTACCTGTAAACTATCAGGCTCTTCTGCTGCAGACCGACAGCAAGCACTCAAAGAAACTCAGAGAAGAACTCGCCTCACTCTTCATGCACCTGGATCCCACCGCCACAGCCAGCAAGACAGACGTAAGAGGCCGCATTAACCTTCACTTATTCACACTCTGGGGCTTTGACTGAGCCACTTATTGACAGTCAGAGACTTTTCTCTGAACCAGTCCAGCGCTGTCTGTCACTGTAATACTGAAAAGTGACCCTGTCACCCCAATTCAGGTCATGTGCACTCTGGAGTTCATGGTTTTTTACTGTCAGCTCCTCTGATCAAGATGACCACGTTTTTCAGTTTGTTGAACATGATATCTCAGATGTGCCTTAAGGGAATTTCTGACCAGTTGTCACATTCAAAGATTAACTGCTTAGATTTCATACAGAGTCAAACACATGTCAAGGTTTGATTTGAAATCAAATTTTTTCAGAAACTGATTGTTGTGGATAATTAAGTTGCAATGTTTTTCCATTGTCATAAAAGCACTGACAGTCAGGCAAGTTGAGTGCTCATTCTGATTTCGTGATAATGTCGGAATGGAGAGGAGCACTGTCAGCCATCTGCTGTCCGGCCTACATGAAATGACATCTGTCTCATGCAAATGTATCCACGGTCTTGCCAGACTGCAGGGAGGAAAGTGAATTTGTGTGGGCTGCTGCACTACACACACATTCACTGCAGGCAAATAAGGACACTGGAGCTGCGGTGCACAACATACAAGACAGAACAGCTTGTGAAATGAACAGAATTTGCATGGTGCACAGACACTCCAGCACAGGACCATAATGGGGTTTTAATTTGTACTAGATAAGTGTAACGCTGCAGGGTTTTCTTTCATGTGTTTTCTGTGTCTAACTCTGACAAACAGGTGAACTGTGACATCCCAGGACTCTGTCAGCAGGACTACTTCTCCTACATCTGCTTCGACATTAACACCAGCGTGCTGGAGATCAGCTAGCAGTTGGCAAAGAGAGGTCCCACACAGTGACCAAGCACATGAGGGGCCACGTCGCTCATGGAAGGAGGAGCTCCGTAGTTCGACATCAACACCGACGTGCTGGAGATCAGCTGGCTAACAGCAAAGAGAGGACCCATGATGAGTAATGAGAGACCCTGTGGCTCACACACTTGTACCAATCATTTACTCTCAGAGCCAGGAGTGTGGACGCCCTCAACACTAAAATAAAACTAATCGGGTGAAGAATGCATCCAAGAATGTTTTTTCAATATTTCTGAGGCAGAAGGAAGTGGCTGCTTCAGACAGAGATGTAAATAATCCAGTCAGGTTAACAGTGGATGGATTTGGCTTCTCCTCGCTACAGTGTTGTCTACACATAGTCTACAAACTGTGTGATGTCCTGCTCATGGATATATAGAACAAAAATGTCAGTCAGTGTTTACCTTGACAAACATGTACTGTAAGCGCACAAGAACTTTTTGAACCATCACAGTAATAAAGTGGATTTCTGCATGCACTGTTGCACATCATTAAAAGAAGATGAGGAAGAGGACTTAAATAAGTTACTGTAAATAAGAGGAGAGCGCACTGCAGCTAAGGCTGAACAGTCCCCTTAGGAAACCCCACTTGAATCAAATACATCTGGATTTTATTTGGATCTGCACCAAATTGCAGTGAATTTACTGGACCTTTACTAGCCTGCCCCTCATCTCTGCTGGAGCGTAGCTGCTCAAGGCTACTTAGACTGTGATACTATAGGCAAGTTAAAATGAAAATGCACAGATGATAAAACAATGTCTCCTCTTCAGTTCAAGTGTCCCAGTGAGACACGGCTGAGTGACAGTGAGCCAGCGTGTAAAATAGCTGAAGCAGCTAAGTGGAATCCATTCATCCATCCATCTGTATACCACTGGAGCCACCAATCATCATCCATTTGATCATTTACACACATGCTTCCCTACTGTGACATGTCAAAATAGCTGAAAACTCTAAAACTCAATCTGAAGTGTGGGCAGTGAGTTGTACTGTGGGAAATATGCTCCAGTCTGGTTCGAAGAAGAAGCCTGTTTGAGAGAGAGAGGGCGAGAGAGAGAGAGAGAGAGAG